CAACATTCACCTTCACGGGCTTCCAGCCTTCACCACCATCAATCTTCGCCGTTGCTTGTCTTTATTTGGAACTAAACTTATAGAATTTGGTTGTTTTATGTATCTTGTTGACATTTACTATTTTGGTATTAATTTTTTAAGGTAGTTTATGCACTATATATATAATTTTTACTTATTTATTAAGGTGCGCCTTGCTTCAATCGGGCGTCGCCTTTGTATCGCCTCTCGCCTCAAGGCGATCAAAGGGCTTGTCGCCTTGTGGTGTGTCTTGCGCTTCGAAAACACTGACTGTTACTATGATATCAAATACAGGTCTGACTCATCATTAGCAGATACTAGCAGATACTATATGTCTGACTCATCATTAGGAGATAGTATAATGTCTGATTCATCATTAGCAGTTACTATGATATTTGATTCATTACTGATTCTTTTCTCGTCAATTTCAGTCCCAGAGATATGTTTAGACTCTTGGACTTGCTTATCTTTTTTAGTGTTCCTTCTTGAATAAACCTGTAATGGTATAGTAGTAGAAGAGTTAGATGGCCCTGGTGAGGTGTCTATAGGTGGTAAAGATGAGGAGGATCGACTAATGTTGAAGAGTTTGTATTCTTGAACTTTTTCTCCTTTTCGTATATCAATGAGAAGTTGTTTCTTGTTAAAAAAAAGGGTTTAGTACCGGTGATGGTAAAGGATTTGATACAGGAAATGTGAGGTTGGGAATGGGGGAATGGGCAAATCCTTATCTTCCAACAATATTTCCTCTCTTAAAGATAAGGTGAGGTAAAGAAGCTGATGTCTTCATAAAAGGTAACATCAGCAGAGATGATGAATCATTTTGAAGGTGGATGATAGCATTTATATCGAGTATTTGAGTATCCTACAGAAATACACTTGAGTGTTTGTGGATCAAATTTACCTCGCTGATGACTGTGAACATGAACAAAGGTTACACAACCAAATACTCAAGGAATCAAGTTATTTGTTGTTCAAAAATCAGGATAGAATTTTGATAGGATAGCTTCCCACCAAATAGGCGGTGGTGGAAAAACCCATGAACAAGAAACAATTAAGAAATTGATCGGTAACAAAGACCAACCAAAAAAGAAACCTCAAGGCTCCGATACCATGTTAATTGATAAGAAAAGAAAATTTTTTTTCCTTACTTCCAAAGAATTGATGCTAGAATATAAATAGGAGCTATAAGGAAGAAAAAAAAGAAACCTAATTGTTTTTACATGTGTACCTGTTTGGTTATCCGTTCTTTCTTTGTATTATTTGTTCATTTCTGATAAAATACAAAGTTCATTGAACAGTATGTACAAACAACCAGATAGTTAAAAAAATGATATCTAGCTTAACAAAATTGTTAGGCAATAATTACCAAAAAGGAACTATTTTAAGAGACATAAAAAAGACAATAATGTCATTTTTTTTTTGGGTTCATTTGATCACAAAACTGGTAGTTTTATTGATGCTTCATTGTCTTACCGTGCATAAAACAGTCAAGTTTAACTGTGGTATGGCAGGGTGTGGATCCGTCTATTAGGGCAGAAGTATGGGAATTTTTGCTTGGTTGTTATGCTGTAGGTAGCACTGCTGAGCATCGAGGTCAACTAAGAACAGCCCGAAGGTTTTTACCTTCCCTGAACGAAAGTTCTCTTTTGTCATGTCAGATTATTTTTGTTTATTTTTCTTCTTCATAGACCTAGTTATGCCTGCATTTTACTATTGTGCCCTTTATGCATCCCTGTAAATTTATACATCTTATATGGGACGACAAGGAATAAACTCTCTACCCATTTTGCTTATTCATTTGTTTTTAATTCATTTATTTTAATTATTTTCTTGAACTTTCTATATCCATTTTAGTTTTATTTTTTCATTTATTGCTTTTGTTTTCTAAAATTAAATAAAGGTTAAATGATGTACTTAGTCCCAAACTTAAGATTTTGATTCTAATATGACATCATGTGTGTTGATGGAGTTATAGGTTAATTCTCAGCAGATAAACTTGATCTTCTTGGAGTGTTTCTCCTTCCAAATTTTGTCTTGTAGATGTTGGACTTCTTTCGTGAGTCTCGTGACTGAGAGTAAGATTCTTGAATAATGACCTCACCGAGAAATTGTTAAAAGGATCACCAAGCCATAGCCATTTATTTTCTGTGGAGGACGGGCTATCCATGGGAGCTTGTGAGAGAGAACCATCCACTAGGAGATTTCATCCTCTGTGAAAATAATAAATCCAAGAGATTGTCACTGTGGACCAAGATTCACAAACATGAGCATTCTTTTTTTAAGGGACAACCACCTATTTTGCCAGAAGCTGATTTTGATGCCCTTCCTAATTTTACAGTTATGGTTAATCCTCCTAAGGGCAAGAGAACAAGTGTTTTTTTTTCTCTAATTATTATTATTTTTTTTAAATTTCTAATTCGAATCAATGAATGAACTGAATGGAAACTCACGGAGATTCCAGCATACCACTCTAGTTGGAGTTGATGGAAACTCAAAAACTCAGAAATTAGATAGTTCTCAATAAATGTTGTTCTACTTTCTCCCCAATACTTCTTTCTTTTTGTAAGCCACCCAGAACTTTCAACTTCATAAACATTCAACACAGCAAGTAGATTTATGTGTTCTGGTTTAGTATTCTTAGCATCTTTTCTGAGCTTGTATTCCTCTTGTTATGTTAGTTCTTTGTTATTTTTGTATTCTCTCTTCGTTTTTCACTCATTTGGGGGTTTGTATTTTGAACATTTTTCCTTTTCATATATCAATGAAAAATTGTTTCTTGTAAAAAAAAACATTCAACATAGCATTATGCGACAACTTATTTTTACCTTTGATAAAAAAGGCTAAAAAGTATCCGGACTATATATGGTTAATTGAAATGCTTCCACCTTTTCAACATTTTACCTCTCTGAAACTCAAGCTTTTTATGATTTCCCCCAACAGGTGAGCGTAAATAAAATACAGGTATTTTTTCCTTCTTGCATACCAATCAATAAGCCCCAATACCCAGCCTTTGCCCATAAATATTAATACCACTCATTGCTGATTTGTCCTACTGGCTTCCAAAGCAAAAACAAATTTTAAATTTCTAATTGTTTGGCTTTCCTCGCCCTTTGTCAGATGGGGAGGCGACAAAAGTTGTAGCCTTTCTTTTGCTCGTGGGTAACTTTGAGGTGTATTTGAGGGGGGGCCTTGGCTTTCGGGGCCTTGAGGCCTTCTCATGTAGCTTTTTGTCGCTTCGTCCTCACCTGTCTCTTCTTTCTCCTCTCTTTGGAAGGTAAAGATCTCCAAGAAGGTCAAATTCTTTGTGGGGTTGGTCTTGCATGGGAGAGTTAATACCTTAGATCGTATTTGGAGACATTCCTCCTTTGTGTTTGGTTCATAGTGGTGCAATCTATGGAGACATTCCTCCTTGTGTTTGGCTCGTAATGGTGTAGTCTATGCAAATATGCGTCAGAGGATCTTGATCATATCTTGTAGAGCTGTTCGTTTTCTCAAGCCTTATGGAGTTGTTTTGTGATGGCTTTTGGGATTTACGGGGTGCGTAATAGATATTCTATGATGGAGGAGGTTCTCTTGTATCCTTCGTTCCAAGACAAGAGCAGAGTCCTTTGGCATGGTTGTTTCTTTGCTATCTAATAGGAGATATGGCTGGAGAGGAATGATATAATTTCTAAAGGGGTTGAGAGGTCCTAGGTGGGATGTTTAACACGTCTTTGTGGGCATCTGTTTCTAGATTGTTTTATAATGATCAGTTAGGTCTTATTCTTTTGAATTGGAGGACTCCTCTTGAGGGGTTGGTTTTTTTATTCACTTGGAGAGCCTTTTTGTAATTCCTTTGGTGCCTTTTGTAATTTAATATCTATCAATAAATTTTTTTTTGGAAACTCGGAATTGATGCCTATGGATTTGCCAGTTGGATTCCTATAACCGGGGGTGTTGACGGCCACCCATCACTGTAACCGACGTTGTGGGATTCGTCTTCGAATTGGGGGGGGGGGAGCCCTAGCTACGTGGCCCTCGGGGCTCAAACCAGGGAGGGGGTATCCCCATTCGGTCACAAACCGACTACGCCATCACCTGCCGGTGGTAATATCTAACAATAAAAATTGTCTCATATTTTAATATTTTAAATAAATGAATTACAAAAAGTGTCTATCATTTTAAAAAAGTTTGAGAAAGATTTAGAAAGACTGCACCAAGAGGAACTCAAAAAATGAACAATGTTCTAAAGTGCAGCTCAATTAGATTTCTTTTTAAGAAAGTTCTTAGGTTTCTTAATCATAATTTTCAGAGTAGCCTTGACTATTCAGGACCAAAGAATTTTGTCCACAGAATTGAAAGAGAATCTGCAAAGATGCTGTTTTTCATGTGAAAGGGTTCTACATGGAAAGCACCATAAAATGCTGTAGGCAATGAGGAGTTCTGATCCAAATACCATAGTAATTGGAACTACTATGCACAATACGTTGGTCCAAAGTCCAGACTTGGTATGTAAAAGAAGACAAACCACTCTTAAATGGAGAACTCAGAATATGAAGAGAAGATAACATACTCTTAAATGTAGGACTCCAACGGTAACTGAAGTTTAAAGGTAAAGAAATCTGAAAAGACAAGAATACCAAAAATAAAATGACATGAGCACTAATTGGGATGTTAACCTCACGAAAATTCAGAAATTCTCAACAAAATTCATATTTGAAATATCGATATGCAAGAATTTCATTATGATTATATCCATGGTACATAATTTATATGATCAAGACCATGAGTGATTTAAAATTCTTTGCGTAGCTTAAAATTTGAAAAGATGATACTCATAATAAATTCTTATTGAAGGATCTTTATTTTTCTCTTTTGTTCTCCCTTCTCCGTTTTCTCCTCTTTTTATTGTCTTCTTTCTCGTTTTCTAGTGGTTATATACCTCTTTTTGTTTCTTGGAACATAATTTTTTTGTTTAAGTTTTCTTCATGTTACATGAACATGTGGAATTGTACAGGTTCATGGTTCACTATCAAATGGCTATATGAAACTTTTCATGCAGGGAACGTTACAAGGACCTGATAAAGGAGTGTCGGATGATACATTCTAGCATAGGAACTGGTTCCCTTGCCTACCCTGTGGGTTCTAAAGTTATGGATATGAGGACGTCGTCTAAAGATGAAGGGCCAAGAGAAGCTGAAAGTGAAAGTAGGGAAGCTTCCATTCATAATACTAATACAGTAGAAGATTCTTTTTGTAGCAATAATAATTGTATAGATAATTCATACACATGTCAAAGGAAAAACTCATGTAATTCAGCAGAACTCGCGAGTGTTAGGGGAAGCACAGATAGTGCGGTAGATGAGTCTACCTGTTGCGTCCCAAATTCTGGTCCTTGTAATTGTTATTCCCTAAAACCTGGGAGTGAAGCAGATGGATCAGCAATTGTTACAGAAAATTATTATGATTTTCCTCTTCCTGTCATTGACTTGTTTGACAAGGACAACAAAGATAAGAACAAATGTTTCCTGCATAATGCCAAACTTTCTACTCAACGTGAACTGAGATTTGAAGATGGCAACATGCACAGTTTTCAGATAAATAACAATGAAGATTTAGTTATTGAATCAACAGCCTCATCCTCCAACAATGTTTCGCATCCCATTAGCTCTGAGATTGAAATGATACATCTTGATTCAAGTGATCCAGAATTTCAGCAGAATAGCTTGTGCAATAAAACCGAACCAAAAAACAAATTAATCTCAAATGTACCAGAAAGGGAATACCTAAATGCAACAAACTACCATAATGGTGCTGTCAGTGGAGATAGAGTGTCTGAATGGCTGTGGACCCTGCACCGAATAGGTACATTCAAAAAGTAGTAAACCTGTCCGTGCTTTTCCGGATAGTCACATCTTCTTGGTCTCACATACTTTTTATTTAGTGGTAGATGTGGTTCGAACAGATAGTCATCTTGAGTTCTATGAAGATACGAGAAACTTAGCTAGGATGTCAGACATCCTTGCAGTTTATGCATGGGTTGATCCTGCAACTGGTTATTGTCAAGGTAATGTTTTTTTAATCTATTTTCCCATCAATATTTTTTACTAATATAATTTGCTGCAAAAATATGGTATTTTGATTTCAGGAATGAGTGATTTGCTGTCTCCTTTTGTTGTTCTATTCGAGGATAATGCTGATGCATTTTGGTGCTTTGAAATGCTCTTAAGGAGAATGGTACTCGAGTAATCTTGGAAATTATCTTGGGCTGGATTTTCTTATTGTCTTTCCCTCTAACACGCTATTGCAATCTTCCAGCGTGAGAATTTTCAGATGGAAGGACCAACTCGGGTGTTGAAACAGTTGGAAGCATTGTGGAAAATTTTGGAACTTACTGACAGGGAAATCTTCACTCACCTGTCACAAATAGGTGCTGAGAGCCTTCATTTTGCATTTCCGATGCTCTTGGTACTTTTTCGTAGGGAGTTATCATTTAATGAGGCACTTTGTATGTGGGAGGTCAGTGTTCCTTTTTGCTCCATGATCATTAGATTGTGATCCATTACGTTATTTTGTTGCATATTGGCGACATGTGGTGGGATATGTTCTGATTGAGAGAATATAGCATGAATCACAAATTCTGCTAGTTTATATTTTCTTTGTTGTCCAATTAATTAATAAGCTTGAGATGCTGTATGTTCGTCTTCTGCTTTATATATGTTTGTTGTCCAGTCCAGTGAATTAATAAGCTTGAGGTACAAGCTGCATTTCTAGCTGGTCTATCTGTCAAGTACCAATAATAATAATGAATTTCTTAAAATAAGCTCATCTATATCGTCTCATGCCTGTACAGGTTCTCATCGAAAACAAAATGGGGACTTTGTTTATGTTATCTTTAGCTTTTTGCCTAGGTGCTGATATATGATTTAACAAGTTAGTGGTTGAGGTCATTTAGGGCCATTTGATTTATGATTAAAAACAAGGAAAATTGGAGAAAATAAGGCTATTTTTCTCGTCTCTTCAGTGACATGCGAAGGCTAATTTTCTTGAATTTATTTAATCTAAAAGCACGTCTTGTTGGAGTTAGAAAATTCCATTTTGGTACTTATTATAGTGAAAGTGTGTTTGTTTCATATTTGATGCAGCCTAGTATCTAATTTCCCATCAATCATGCTCAAAGAAAAATAATTATTCAATATCAAGAGTTTGTCAATTAATTACCATCGAACCCAAAAACTTCTACGGATAGCTTACAATATATTTAAACATTTAGCTATTTTTACCGGTCAATTGCAAGAGATATCCCTCTAGAGATTATGTATCTATATTTATAGAGGTTGCCTAGGGACCAACTAGTAATTAAAGCAACCAACCCAAGAACAACTTAACAAACAAACCATAAACTAATTAAAATTAATTAACCAACTAATTCAACAGGACAACTAACTTTTACAGAAAATTACAAGTTATCTTCTATCGTACTAAACAATTTCTTGAGTTCAAAAAGCAGCAAAGCCAGGAGGTAGCAAGCAAGGAAGCCCAAAACATAGAATTTCTATGTTGCTGAAGCTTGAAATGCTTCAACTGAGAATTCTATTTTCTTTACTTTTTTTATTTTTTTTTTCCTTTGGTGATAAGAAGCTGTTAGAATATATTCAGAGGGAAAGGATGAATAAACCATCACTCAACCCAAAAGCTTAAAGGCCGAGGTAGAGGAACCCTCACCAACAAAGCTAAACAAGAAAGGCCTTCAAACTTAACTCATTTAGCATGCTTCAAGAATCACCTTGTTGATTTATTGCAAATGCCATTGCAAGAGTTTTCTTTAAGCAAGAAAGGTATGAGATTGGACCATGTAGACTTCGATAATTAAGATTCAATCTGAGACTTCATATTGAATGTGTTGTTTGGCCAATCTACGGCGGGAAAAAGAGGTTAGTGATCTCTGCAGGTTATAATTAAAGTGGATAGGTAGCTTTCTTGATATGATGAAGGTTTATTTGTCAAGACTTAATGATGGTTCAGAAAAGCTGAATTCAAGGACTCCGCCATCTTTTGTGAGGTTCTTAAAGGAAAAAGAAAATGGTTCATAATGAATCTTTACATGGCCAAAGATGCAGTAAGAAAGAACAATAAGACTCAATTTTGGGTTAAGAAAGAATCCGAAGTTTTGAGTTGGATTGGGATAATCTAATGATTATCACAAAATTTTGTGCCCATGATGATTGGAATGAAATATCCTCTGTTATAAAAGGTAATTTTCTCAAAGCTGCCAAATTAATCCGTTTATGATGGGTAAAACCTTGTTAGAGATTTGAAGATGGAAGGTTACTGGTGAAGGAATTGGTAAATTGGAAAATGGTTGAAGATAGATCAGTTTCATTTGAAGTTTGAGAGATGGAATTTTGAAAAACATAGTAAGAAGGAAGTGATCAAAGGGTAGAGAGGCTGGATAAAAATTTGTGATTTACCTCTTAAGTTTTGGGATAGTCATTGTTTTGATGCAATTGGAAGTTATCTTGGAGGTTTGAAGAAAGTATCCTCCAAAACCCTAAATCTTCTGGATTGTTAAGAAGACTTGATTGAAGTTGATAACAATGTCTGTGGCTTTTTGCCTGCTTCAGTGGAAGAAATAAAATCCTAAAAGTTTGGAGATTTTGTGGTTGAGTGTCTGCTGCCAAGGAGTCTGCAACGCTAAGAGTATGAGATCCAAGTGGAATTTGAATTTGAAAAATCTGGATCATTGCAATCTTTCACACAATTTGGGTATTCAAAGGATCAAGCGGATTTGGGAAATGAAGAATCTTTGGAATGCAGCTATTCTGTATTTATGGATGGAAATATAGAATTACAGACGAATGTGATTAATAAGGAGGGTGTAATGTCAGTTTTACAACTTCAGACAGTAAGAAGGCTTCGAGGTTAGCTCCTTCCATCATTGAGAGTATAGAAGATCCAGCTGGAAGTTTTGCAGCCAATCATAAAGAGATTACAAAGGTTTTTAGCGAAAATGAATCTTCAGATGGTCCATTCTCAAAATCCTTACCTAATAAATTACCCCCCAAGGAATTTATTGCGCCTCTGACCTTTTCATATTCCAGGCATAAGTGTAAAAGTAAATAGAGGTTATTAAATGTCCTGACTCTTAATTCGGTTGGTTTGGAGCTATTGAATTCTTTTTTTGATAAGAAACAAAACTTTCATTACCAAAAAGAGAGAACAAAAAGGAGATGAGAAACCTCCTGCCACAAAAAGGCTACAAAAGGTGCTTCCAATTGGTGACTATTTGAGTGATTCCCTGGTTTCGCTTTCATGGAGAAACTCGGAGGGCTGAAGGGGGGATTACTGAAGTGGAACAAGGAGGTCTTTGGGGATACCCTAACCCAAAAGGAGCTGTTAGGTGCCAAAGGAGGAAAAATGGAAAACAATAAAACAGAAAGAGGAAAAGGGGATAGAGACGAAATCCCAAAGGGATTTAAAAGAAGCAAGAAAAGCGAAAGCCCTAAAGGCAAGACAAAACTGAAAGGGGAGTCATAAAGGCCTCCCAAGTTTGTCAACATTCACAAAGAAAAGGCTATTTGTATCGAAACACACTCTATCAAAAAGATGGAAATTCAAGCTGAGCGGGAAAGAGAGCTTGTCGACGGTATTAGAAATATTCGGGCTCTCAAAGGTTCAAAGCTCTGTTCCCAAATGATGAAGATGACCTTGTCCTTGACAATGTTTCTTGATGCTCCAAATTCCTGAAGCTTTTATCCACGGTTCCTTGCTATTGGGAGGCTTTTCAGTCCACAACTGTTTTGGTCTTTATGTAGTTTTCTTCGTTGGCTCCTTTGTGATGTATCCTTTTGTTTCGAATCTTGCTTTCTCTTTTATCTTTTCTTTTTTCGCTCCCTTTGGGATTTTGTTTTCGTTGAACATTTTGTTCGTTTTCATTAATCAATGAGAAGTTCGTAACTTAAAAAAAAAAAAAAAAGCACTACCAATTACAACATATCATATTAGGAGAATAAGTAGAAAATGAATCATCAAGAGAAGACCACTGAGAAGCTTTAAATTTTGCAATACTGAAGCAATCTTCCGGAGACTTGCTTTTGTCTTCAAATAACCTCTGATTGCATTCAAACCATAGTTCTGAAAATAAGGCTTTGACAGTTGACACTATTCACCCATAATAGCCAGGCTTTAAGGCTAAAGCCTGCAACACTGAGGAGTTGAATAATATTAACCGGAACATCTAAATCAATAACCCACCGTAAAGAAAATGGTGGGAAGAGAAGCTCCCAACAAACCTTGGAAAAAGAGCAATGGAAGAAAACGTGAGACTGCCTTTCATCACAACTCTTACACAGTACGCACATGGACGGAGATATGGCCATTTTAGGGATCTTCCTTTGGAATATGTTTGCTGTATTCACCTTGCCTTTGAGCAGAATCTAAGTGAGAATAGAGACCTTCTTTGGACATTTTGTCTTCCTGATCGCTTTAAAAAGATTCTATTATAAGGATGTGGGGGACAGCTGTGCATAAAGAACTAATCAAGAAAAGGCCTGAAGGGTCAATGGACCTCCTTCTTTGATCATCCTCAGAATGGAGATTTGTTGAGAGAGGGTAGAAGCTCTGAAAAGGCTCCTATTTCAACTTCCTTTAGGAATCTTCTAGAGGGATGAAGATCCTTTTGGTTTTCCCGAAGAGAATGGTGAGATCTTTGAAGAAATAAAATCTGTGCATTAGGCCTATTACATCTAAAGAAGATATCTCTAAATTATTAAATTTATCCTAACCCATCAGCTTAAGCTTTTGAGTTCATTGGTTTTTTTTTATAAGAAACAGAGAATATATTTCAATTCACAAAAAGGCAAAGACAGCCCAAAGGCAGAGGGTTGAGAAAACCCTCCCTAGAAACTATACAATAGCAGCTTTCCAATCTCGTATAATCATTTGAAGACTATAATTACAAAAATCCTTCTTGTGAGTAGTAGCCCACCAAGAAGCCGTATGCTGAATATTCACACAAAAAGAATCCACTGAGACTTCTTATCTTCAAAAAGTCCACTATTTCTTTCCTTCCAAAGATGCCAAAGCGAGGCTCTAGCAGCACAATTCCAAAGGATGCTAGATTTTCCTTTTAGAGCACAGTCCCCGAACCCTTCTATAACAAAATCGTCTATCTTTTTAGGGAGGCAAAAAGCCAAATCCAGCAACGAAGCAATAAAAGACCACACTCTCAAAACGAACGGGCAATGGAGAAACATATGATCTATCGAATCTGAATCCCTCAAACACAGCAAGCAAACTGAAGGAGAGACGGTCGAAGTGGGAAGCTCCCGTTGAAGCTTCTCTGCCGTGTTAATGCTTCTGTAGAAGATGGACCACAGAAAAAGCTTCACTTTTTTAGGGACCCTGAAATTCCAAATCTTATTAGCGGTGGAGGTTGACATTTTTGGTGAAGGGGAGGTCAACGCTAGAAAGGCTAATTTGGTTGAGAAGACACCATTGGAGTCCATCTTCCACCGAAG